TATTTTATATATCTGAGCATAACATAGCTAAAATATATATCTGTATGTATATATAGACAGAGTTTTGAAAGGCATCCTATGAGGCTTCTTCCAGTGCTGTAAACTGTTTGAAAACCCTTGTGATCTTAAACCAGTTTATGACTTTATTTTTAAGCCAACATATGGGAAATGGAAAAGAGTTTATAGGGTCCATTTGTTCTTATACCCAGGCAACCACAGTAACATCACAATGGCCCTTTTCCTGCTAAGGACTTAAATACAAAGGACTTTATATTATGGCAGCATTAGAGTAATGTTGTAGTTGTGATGGGCCAGGAATTATGCGAGAGGTAAGGATTTGTGTGGGTATTTTTTATTGGATCAACTGTATAGTTGGGATAAAGTTAGCCAAGCTTTTGAATGCAAAGCATTCTTCTTCAGGTCTTATGCTTTGCATTTCTGGTCTAATTTTATCCCAACTATACAGTTGGTCCAATAAAAGATACCACCCACAAAAATCCTCACCCCTCCTTTCCTTTCCATACGATCAGTCCCTGAAGTTAAGCATGTCTACAAGTCCTAGCAAAATGAGGGTCTAAGGATGCAAAGGTGGGAATTAGGCCAGTGTAGCGACATATTTGAATATTTACACTGTTTCATGGGATCAGCCAGACCCCGAAGGAGCTCATAATAGGTAACTTTGCCTCTGTATACTCAGTGCATTATTAGCTGTGTATAATATTAAGAACACAGATTTGTAGTTTACTGATGCTTCAACTTGATGTTTCCTTACACTGCTCTTGAAAATAAAGTACTTCCTTAAGAATGAACTCTCTGCCTATCAACATGTTTAATTTATGAAGCTGATAGATGACAATCTGCAGAGCATCACAGTGAATGTAGTATTTTTGTACTGTACTGGAAGCATGCCTTCCTGTGATTTTTTCCCCCCACATATTAAATTGTATTTATTTATCTGTATTTATAAACTGTGCAATTTTTAAACATGTTTGAAGATGAACTTTGTCTGTGGCTTCAAGCATCTGCTAGATCTCTTGTGAAGCTGAAAGTAGGCTTTGGTTATGATTCTTTAAAACAAAGAAGGAATCTACTTATCAAAGTGGATTAATAAAGATACAGTTTTTTTTAATCTGAGATTTTCATTCCTAAAGACAGCAGAGCTCTTTTAATTAAACCAAGAAATGGGTTTTTGCTCATCAATGGATTTTGCAGTCTATCAGAAATGCTTTCAATAATCATTGATTAGGGGGGAAAAACAAAATCAAATGCACAAATGCTTTGAAACATACTGGTAAAACCATTCGTACTTACAGCGGGGTTGCAATCACTGTTGAGAGAAAGAGAGAGACTGGGATCCTTCTTGCACTTCTTGTGGTATAAGTCAATTAAATCCAGGGAGTTTTATGACCACTCTAAGTGAGATGAGAACAGGACTCTCTCTAGCGAATAATTAGAGGTCAGAGCCTCAGCTGGTGTAAACTGTCATAGCTCCACTAGAGTCAACAGAGGCAGGCCAATTTGCAACCACTCAGTCTGCCCTGAGGAAGTTCCTGTTCCTTTGGAAATGAAGGTGTATTTCAATATTCTATGAATTTCCTCAAAGAATCACAAAAGTGGTATCTACAGACATTTCAAAAGAATTAGGACTATTGCAACCCACTTTCTAAATGAAAGAGGTAGGGCTTTAGTGTTTACCAACCATCCAGGAGGTGGGTCCCAATATAGTCAAAAGAAACCAATCAAACCTGGATCCTAGAATGCAGGGCCAGGGAATTCAGACTGGAGAATCCTGTTCCTTTAAATGATCCCCCCCCAAAAAGACAAAAAGCTAAAAAGCCACCACTCTAGGGTTAAATGGATTGCATCATTAATGAATATGAAGCCCCTTTGGGAAGCTTTCCCTTGCCATTTTACACCATAACCTGCTCAGTACATCAGAGAACAGAGAACCCTGTGATCCCAAGGTGCGACCCAAAGAGAACTTGACCCCGCTTCAGAAGTTCTTGCTCAGTTTATCTTCTATCCCAACTAAAGAAAACTCCTTGGGAGCCTTAGGATTTGGTCTTCAGGGCTAGGGACAGAAATTACACATGAACCTGTAGAAGTGATTGGCAACTGGCTCAAATCTGTAACACAACGGAAGCTCAGTGCACATAAACCTCTTTCAAAATGGCTGAAACTGGTTTAAGACAAACCTGGATGGATGTAGTATCAGACTTAGCTGATTTATGTTAAATCAGTTAATTGAACTTCTGTCCCAGATCCCCTCCAGATTCAGGTCAACTTCCCCAGCCTCCCAGGCTGCTTTGCGTCTCTCCCACAAGCTGCCCCCCCTTGCAGGGTGGGCAGGCTAGCCTTAGCCCAGGGGTGGGCAATTATTTTGGGCAGACGGCCGCTTACCGAGCATCAGCAAGCCATTGAGGGCCGCATGACAGGTAGCCCAGGGCAGATTAATATTAATTTTCTATGTTTATTTAATTTCCCGCAGGCCACATTTTACCCACCCCTGCCTTAACCCAAGCTGTCTGCTCCAGCTGAGTAGGGAGGTGTGCTTTAGTACCCTCCAGCTTCTGGCCTGGGCCGCTGAAGACATGGCTGCATTTCTGGAATCAAAAGTGAATGTCTGTTCACTTCATGATCAGTTCAGTCTCTGCAGCTTAGACTAACCTGCAAAGATTGAATCAATTCAGCCTCAGGCTTTTAGGCCAGGTGGAAAGGGAAAATGATTAGTGGAGCCGTTCTGATACCGAATGAAGCTCGCCAAGATGCATCATCCTCGCACCACTTCTACGTAACATGGTGAACGCTCAAGTGAGAGAAGCAGAAGAGGTAAGAAGGAGCAAAATAAGGAGGTAAACAGGAACAAAATGTCAGGGGGTGAGAATTGAAGTGTGTGACTAATGCATGGAGAAAAAAAGACAAAATTTGGACGAGTCACATGGTAGAGAGAACTCAGGCCAGGTGCCCTAGTCATTCAAGCAGACTGTCCAGAACAGCAGACAGGGATGCTCAGCCCCAGTCCATGGGCCAAATCCAGCCTGTAGAGCCATGGCATCTGGCCTGTGGAGCTCCCCACAGGTTGGGAAACGTGGTGGTGTGGGAACAGTGGCACTAATACTGCCACTCCTCCTCTGTTGACCAATTCTTAAGCCCCCCATGGCCAGGCCAGGTGGGGCTACACCTCCCTCCCCCCGCTGTGCCCACTCTACACACTGGTCAGGGCCACCAGCCAGATCCACTGTACGGACAGACAGGGCACTGCCCATCCAGCCTCTGGAGCAAAAAGGTTGAGCGCCACCAGACATAGACGTTTGGCTTAAAAAATGTGAAGATGGATGCATGCTGTGTATCCATGGCAAACGAGTTTTCTAAAACACTGTCCCCTAATAAAATGCATTTGTGAAATGCCACGGGAAGTCACATCCTGTAACTTCTTTTAGACACTCTGAAGAGATGGGAGTTGTCATTTTAACTGGCTTATTACTGCTGCTATGCAGCACTGGAGATGTGATAACTGCGCTGCCAAAGCAAATCTCTCTTTCATGAGATAAGGCTGCTAAATATATTTATATGCTGTACGGCAGCTATAATAGATTTACTCCCACAGCAGTGCAATCTCTTCCAGCAGCGTGGATCAAACGCAGACCGAAACACTGACATCCAAACAACAGAGCAGATTCTTTTCCTTGTCCTACTCCTTTTCTACTCCTGTAGGAAACTCAAACTCATATTTTATTTAGCTTCCTGGGTAAGTCAGTGGTCCTGTCCTTGAATGAATCCCAGTTGCCCACAAGCCTCTCTCTACTAGATTTTTGCTCTGCCATCTATTAAATAAATCTGAATCTATGTATTTAAACAATTGTCCCATTGCTAATTGACCTGCAGTTCCCATAGATCTAATAAAATGACTATTGTAACAAAGGGTTATTGCAACCTTTGTGCAAAAGCCACCCCAAGAGTCTGATTTTTCAAGTGCTCAGCCAGGAGCCAGGTTTTCAGAAGTGCTCAGCTCACCAATCTGCTCAGTTATGACACCAAGCCGACTGGGGGTTAGAAAGAAACTTTTTCTAACAGAAGATTATTCTGCCTCATCCGGTTTCTTACATATTGGTGTGCAGTACCTAATATTGAACAGAGACACGGACTAGGTGATGATGACTAGTGTGAGTCCAGTATGGCAGATCCTGTCGGTGATCAAATAGGCCCAAACACCAACGCTGTGCAAGGTTGAGTACATACTATTTGGTGTAGAGTGTATCTAGTTACAACAATTGGTTTGTGTACCGATGGGATGTACCCAAATTCACCAGCCAGCCCCATAACCACTAAATCACACTTTTTCTCAGTCCTGACTGTCAGCAAATACAGCGCATTCATTTGAGGGAAGTTGCCCGGTCAATTCTGTGTAATTAGGGATCCACTGCTCACATCCATGACCCAATGCACTATTATGTGCTTTTGTAGGGACAGCCAGATCAGAGCTACATTATGGCCTATCCCCACATCTAGCAGTAAAGTCCCATTAGACCTATGCTGTTTGGGTGGGAGACACCCCAGCAAAACCACTTGTTCTTTGAAGTAAAGCAAATCTAATTTCTCAAATGGATTGAAGAGGTGAAAACACAAAGCTTAACCTCTAACCCCGTGGAAGGAGTTTATACAAAAATATCAGTATCACCAATCCCAAGTTATCAAAAATCGTGTGTTTGTTTTTAAAACAGTAACAGGTTTCAACTTTGCCCCAATGCACTCGTCTCTGAATCACTGGGGCATATTCACGTCATGTTGGCAAGCTTCTCTCAGCAACTGCAAATGCTGGAAATTATTCTTCTTTCATAAAGGAGATTTCCCTATAACTGCTCTGTTCCAGAAGCTAGGGTTTTTAAGAACAAACGCCAAATAAAAACAAATTGAGGCAGAGTAACACAGAAAGCTGCTTGGTTAATTCTGCTTGAGACTGTAAAGAGGAGAGCAGCAAAAAGGCAACAGGATGGCCAAGGTGTGAGAATATTTTTTTTAATTTAAAACAGCTGCAACAATGTCATTCATCTCTTCTCATCTCAGACAAGTATGCTCCAAAACGTTATCAGTGCTTCAAGCAAACCATTCTCCATGGTGCAAAATAAACCAGTACAAACACTTCCAAGATACAACAGTAAAGCCTCAAAAGATTTAACAGAAATTGACTGAATTTGCTTAGGGGGAGGGGAAGAAAATAAAAAGGCATATCCAGTTATGACATGTTTTGCATAGTCTTTCAATGCACCTGAAGTCAAATAGCAGAGAAAATAAAGACGACTGCCACCAGGATGGAAAACCAGAGGAACGAGCTGAAGGCCTGTTTCTAAACATTGCAAAGATGACCAGTGCACACCCATGTCCTCAGTTTGCTCTCCTGCATCCCAGTGAAGTTGTCACCGCCTGTGAATCTGGCCCAGTTTAGTTACACCAGTGTAAAGCAGGAGTAACTCTGCTGACTTCAGCAGTACTACGCCAACCTGGAACTGGTATAAGCAACAGGAGAATCCAGTTCAAAAAGACTCCTAGGGTAGCCTGAGGGTTTTGATTTTTCAAATATTTTATCTTAATTGTAAGCAACAAGGTAAAGTGACTTTAAGAACCCCATTCGACCTCTGCCTTGGAGAGAGGAGATCGTGAACCACACGAGTACCTACAACACTAGAAGTAAAGTGAGATAGGGAAAGAAATATTAAAAGGTTTTTCCTTCTTCCCCCTTCCCCCCAGCTCCTTTATCCCACCCCCAAACCATTGTTCAAAAATGTACAGACAGCTCTAGAAATAAAAAAAGGTTGGTTTTTGCCTCTCGGCTCACCCTATTCAAAAGATTAAATAATTTGCCTTCTGACGCTCAGCGAGATTTTCTTCTCACCCTTTTGTCTCAAGAAGCTCACAATACAATTAGAAAAACCTTGCAGTAGTAACTGCAATCCAACTGTAACCACAGACACTGACCCTCCCTTCACCAGTTTTCAAGCTGTTCACCAAGGCCCTGATCCAACAAAGCACTTAGGCACATTTGCAGGATCAGCACTTGGAACGGTCCCATTCACATCAGCGAGACCATCTACGTGCTTGGAGATGAGCATGGTTTTACATGATCTAGCAGGAATACCTCTTGGTTCCACAGTCAAGTTTTTGCATTGGGATGTACCAATGCAGCTGTACTCCTTTGGCTTTATCCTCTTTCACGCGGTACACTGATCATCTAGGCAAAGGGTGACAAAAACACACACAAATGGCTGGAAAACTTCCAAGTATTTTCAAACCAACATTTTCAAAAGTCCTTCAGCCTTTTCCCTTTCGTATATCCTGCACTCTTGACCCACTTTTAACTACATGCAAACATGATGAAGAATTCTTGCACTGAAAGGATTCCAGAAGCTAAAAATGCACCTATGTGGCCAGTTCTTTGTTTTTTCCCCTCCTTTTTAACTTCTCTTTCCCAGATTCTTGCCTGTTGCTGATATGAAAAATATATCACATCCACAGTCTTTCCAGTTCTAGCTATGTGTATATACAGGTAAATGGTTTGAAGAAGTTCACATTCTATTCTTATTCCTGGGAGACGTGCCATTTGTTAGTTCGGTGATGAACATGGTAAAGCCTCTATTGTCTGTTACTTAGCTAAGATCTTTAAATAAAAAGGTTAGCCATGCCAGACCTTGCTGGTTTATAAATAGCCCTTTAAGTTCATGAGGCAGAGGAGGTGGCTGCAGTGTTCCACTTGCTTGAAACATAAATGGGCACAAAAAGGGATCTGTAGGAAAGAAAAAGTACAAATAAAACAGGAAGTTTCCTCCTTTGTCCCCCCACTTTTGGTACAGGCTAGCGCCACTGATCAGTTTGCTGATACAATTTTCAAAATCTCCATTCTCTAATGAAAGGCAAATATCCCAAATATAGTGAGAAGTTGATTTGCTGCCAATTTGTATTTGTCCGTGACCAACTGCTTAATAAATTATAAAGCAGCAAAATCTCACGAGAGCCGCTTGTTAACACAGCGGAACACCATTCTAGCGAGCCTGCAAGGGTGCTAAATAGCAGGAGCTTTCCCAGTGATTAGGCATCATTTCCTCCCTATACCTAGTCTATCTTTTCAGATCAGGGGCCAGCCCAAAGAACAGGGCCTGTCTAACAACGCTGCTTAATGTACACAAGGTTGTTCTAGTACGGAGAACAGTTTTTCCACAGATGTTAAAAAGCCCTAGTTATAACCACAATCTTTAATCCAGTGCCCCTTTGGCTGTGTCTAATTCCCTGTATTTTGCTATTACACTTGCAGAATTAGCAGCAGCAAAGATGTAATAACATCTCCTTGCCTCTCCTTCACCCTGCAAGGCGGACTCTTTTGACCGTTCCAATTTATTTTGCGGGATCTGTAGGGTCACAAGAGGCAATTTTGCCAACTGTTTCTCAGCAGTAGTAAACGTACGATGAAATAAAGTTTTCGGATATCTTAAAAAGGTTGCTCATTCACTGCTGTAATTTTTCCCTAAAATAAAATCTAATAACTGTTAAAAAACCCACACGGCCCATGATTTCAAATAAATTCTTGCCTGTGGTTCAAACCAAAATAAATGATTTTTTTAAAAATGGAAGAAGAAATGGCCACCTTCTTCCTCCAAAACCTTTTCTAAAAGGTGTTCATGGCGGAAATCAGCTTATCAGTGCGATGGCAAGTTTTGAGAAAGCTCATACATCATTAAGAATTTAAATGGAAAAAAAATTTAAAAAAAAAATCAATAAATCAGCTACTTTACCAAGCAATTGCTTCTACCCCTGGATGCAATTTAAATAATTAAACAACCTTTGGCAGCAAACAGAATTACATTGCAAGCATTTTGTTATGGAGCCAATTTCAGCTGGAGGATTGTTGGTACCAGAGCAAAATGCTTTGCAACAGGTAAAAAGGGACGTTAGCCCTTGTTTAACTAGATCGGAAGGAAACAGGTGCTTGCACATCCGGAGTAGTGTAGACTTAGGTGCTGAACCAGCCTGCATGCTGTTAGCCATTTCTAAACCTGAATCCTGTGGAAGAACTTAAGAAGGCAAGAGGATTTCACGATGGTGTAACACCCCAACTAAATCCATAAAATCAAATACAACCCACCATTATTATTTGGCATAATCCCTGGTCAGTGCTTTATACAATGACAGCTTTCCCCATATGTCATGGGTCTGTCTTCATTTCAAGCATCAAAAAAGGCAAAAACCAAAATATTCTGAGTCACGACATTCTCACAGATGTATGCTACATTTTTCTCATTGTGATGAAGCATAAGGTCATGCCCGAGGCATGCTCTGCTTTGGAGAACAGCTCCCCCCTCCAACTCGAGATGAGGCAAAGACAAGTCTGATTTCCATAACCCGTCTGGATTCCCCAGTTGAAAGCAGTGGCCAGCTACTATGATAGAAAGACACGTCCCCGCAGATCTTCACAGGACACGGCTGAGCCATGAGGCAGGAATTGGGCTGTTGTGTTTGATCAGGAAACATTCACATTCTCCGTAAGCTGGCTGCAAATCCCACCAGCAATCTGAAGGGTTTTAAAGTACCCTTTAATGTATATAAATTTAAAACAACCTACAGTACATCATCACCTAATAGAAATTTCCCCACTAGCACTGAAGAAGGCATCAAATGACTGGTTTTTTGTTGTGTTTTGTTTTTAAATAAACTGTAAATATCCCATGTTTTCCTTTGCTTTTTGGCAGTCCAAGGTGGAGTGTTTTTTGTTTGTTTGTTTTTAATTTTCTAAACACTTTTTGGCAGATTAAAAAGGCTTATGGCTTCTTAAGGCCAAGTAACGTGTTTGAGGCCTAACTTGGTATCCTGTGGTAGAAGTAAATGTAGCCCAGGTCTTTGGGAGGTCGTTCTGAGGCACAGACTTTAAGGTCATTGTAGATCACCCATCTGAAAGGAAAACAGGAAGGTGAGCATCCTTCTGTGATGTCATGTAGTCTCTTGATACAGCGCTGAGACCATACCAAGGCTTCCCAGATCTCTTGGCCAAGAAACTGAGAAGTTAAATGTAAAAAACCCAAGGGACAATGAAAACAATGAAAGGACTGGGGAAGCAGTCTTCTTCATAGGTCCATGAATTAGGAAAAGGAGGGAGGACACAGGATGGTGAAAATGCAGACCAAATAGCATTCCCCATTGCTGGAGAAAAAGTTAATTTGTATTATGGAAACCCCAACACTACAAATACCCAATACAGTGAGGTTACTGGCATTTCAAGGACAAGAGAGTGGGGCTGGATACAACTTATAAGCAAGCTATCCAGAGGCAGTAAGCAGATGAGTTAGTACTTTCCTTCTTTAACCTAAGATAAGCAAAGACCAGATTGAGCTCAACTCACAGTGTGCTCCCTGTACAACTGGAAAGGAAGGGCTATACGTATAACAGATTCCCACTTCCACATCAGTCCAGTAGCCAGACTAGATTAGAGCAACCTCAGCATGGACAAATACGTCAATTAAAAAGAAAACCGCCAAGTTGTCTGTCAGTCAATCTATAGAACGGTCATTATCTTCATGCCATCAAAAGGAACCACAGAAGGGGGTTGTCTGATAACACACATAAGGAACGCATGCCCCAATCTGCAAGGACACACACTATGCAGAAGGTGCCTATCAGCCAGAAACCAATTCTTCCTTTCCTAAAACCACTTACCTGCCTTCCTTTTTGAGATGACAAACATAGTGACCACTCATCGTGGATGTTCCCATGTGGCTGATGAATCCAAAGAGCTCATATCCTGCACAAGAAAAGAAAGATGATCAGTGTCAATGGACATGTGTCTCTTTTAGCACAGATAAGCTTTGTCATGTCCAGTTCACTCTCTGCATCCCAAAACAAACTTATTACGTGATCAATGGACTCCCACGTTCATATGTATAACTTGTCTTCTCTGTCAAACAATAACACCACCCAAATAGATACAGATCTGTGCCCAAAACTGTCTGAATACAGCTTATGCCTATGAGTATGACAAAAGTCAATGAAAGATAAAATGGCTAGACTGAAGGTATGGATTTCAGCCCTGTGTCACTCCACCTAGATGCCTCTTTGGCAAAGGCTAGTGGTTCACTCTACACACAAATCAGCTAACACTCATGAATGCAAATGGTTGATCCCCTGTAAATCAAATGAAAGGG